CTGTAGGTCCCAGAAGGAACCTGAAAAATTGTCTTCTAAGATCCTGAACCAGCCCCTGCCCCAGAGCTAGTGCATCACTCCTATAGCCCAAGGTCCAGGTCATTTTTTATACACAAAGTTGCATTCTAAAATGCCCTAGCCCAGTGTATGGAGCATACTGATGAATGGTGGGAAACTCAAGTTCAACTCTCTAAGCAACACCAGGCAGGGCCCGTTGCCTGCAGGTTTCTCAGACCTTGTGCGACTTCCTTAATGACAGTGTTTAAAGGGACCTGCTGCATCCTCCTCTGCTTTTCTCAGAAAAACCCAGAAAGGGCTAAGGCACTGAAGTCCGGGAGGTGGTTGACAGCGGCATACTGCAGTCACCTCGTGCCCTTTGCAGCCATGGTTTTGATTTCTTGGAGGAAAGTGGCACAAAGGTCTTGCTGAAGCCAGGCCGGTGCACTAGCACCTGGGCGATGGAGTAAAGCTGAGCATCTCTTTGTCTCAATACATAGTTACCTATTTATACATGGTGGATCAGCTTCAACTTTGACCAGCCCTGCAGTCTCCCAGCAGTGGGGGGATAGGACTGTCTCCTATATAGCGAGTGACCCCCCCCACATCACACCACACTCCACCTTAGGCAGTGAAAGGACCTTGACTGTGGCTACCTCATGTTCTGGGGCAATGCCTGCAGAACAAACCCAAAGGTTGTAAGCTCTGGGGGACTAGAGGGAGGTGGGCATCTGCTTTTGTTTGTCTTAAATGACTGGCTAAGGGGCCTGACTCCAGGAGAGGCTCACAGCTGTGTAGCCCAAGTGGCTACAAGCACCTACCCCTGTGTGAGGCTTAGAGTTTAGACATTCTGCAGTGACCTGGATGCTAGGTCTCCCACCTCGTAGGTGAACCTCCCTCTTCCCTGCAGCAACTGGGGTACAGCAGGAGCAGTGTGTTGTAGCTGGTCCCAGGTATATTTATTATACACTGTGTAACAGCTTTGTGGAGGCCGTGCCCCGCAGATGGTCCTACATCAGGGCTATCCCACAGCCATGTGATTAGGGCATTCTCTTGGGACCTAGGCCACCTATGGTCAAGGCCTTACACCACTTCAGCTGGCTGGATCACTCACACCCTGTCTTCCATAACCTAAGTAAAGGGCGGTACTAAAAGCTGTGAGTCATGGGACTTCGCTATCTCCATTTTTCTTGAAGGAAAAAAAAAAAGACAGCCTCCACAAGAAGGCTGGACTGCATGAAACCCAAGTAGAGCAAGTTACCCAATACTTTCTGAGTGACATGGCTTAGACCCAGGGTCCTGCAGGCTAGCTTCTACAGCATATATAAGTGCACTAACCAGTGGGCATCAGGCATTAAGCGTCCTTTACTTCTCCAACACACAGCTAATTATATATACACAGTAGGAAAGTTTCAACACAAGAGTTTGAACAACCTGCTCCAGCCTCTAAGTGTGGTCAGGGCACGCTCGTGAGTGGTGCATGACCCCATTTACCTCCCTTCCACGAGGCAGGGGTTGGGGGAAGGATGCGGAATTGGATCCCAGTTCTCCCCCCCACAAACCTCATCTGGGTGCATGCCCTAACCACTGGGCCAAAGGCTCCCGGGAAGGCAGGTTCTCCTCTGGCTGTTTTAGGCATGCTCTGAGCATATGCACTGAATTGGGTCCCACAGGAAGGATGCACAGGGGGATGCTACTGGAGCTTAGACGTGAATTAGGCACCAAGCTGCAGGGCACTGTGAGGCTCCAAGTAGCTGAGCAGCTGCCCATTGCAATTTAGGCCCCTCAAGACATTAACAATGAAAACAGCCACCGAGGGGGTTTCGGCACTTCCAGCATTGGGGGTTTTGTAAATGTCCATGGTGGCTAATTGTTTGAGTTAGGCACATAAAGCCTCCTTCTGAAACCCACGTCTCACACACATCCATCACCTCCCTCCCAGGGGAATCTAGCCACCCTGCTTGTGACACACGCCTCACCCAAAACACATCCCTCCTGCGCAAGGGCAAGGAGAAAGAAAAGCAGCAGCAGAGTCACCTTCACCAGGTTCGAACGCTAATCTAGTACTGCTCAGCAGAGGCATAACGCTATTTTTGCTGACAGTCCATTCTGTCACTGACCTGAAAAGACATTAATAAAAGCATTTGTCCTTTACTATTGATAGAGTTGCTACTAAGGGTCCTCAGCCCTGACTTTGTCCTCACAAATTATCTTAGTATTCAGCCAGTTTATAATATTAAAGCCGTAGAACATTATGATATTAAATCATTTCTATTACTTTATCACGTTAGTGAAATGAACAGAGATCTACAGTATAGTGAATTATAGCTAAATCTTAGTTTCAATATAGTCAGCCTATTATATTTTCTTTAAAACATTAGTTGTAATATGCCAGCACTGGGAGGAGTTACTGAGTGTACTATGGTTCTTCTGCCTGGCTGCAATCCTGTTTGGAAAGCTATTATGTAATGATGTGTGACTGCAGATTCTCACCATGGCTGGTGAGACAGTCACCAGTAGGGCTGTGGCAACTAGGACTACCCCTTCTTTTTGGCCAGGTGGGAGGGAGGTGCTAAAACTAAGGGAGAGGTGAAACGTCAGTGTTGTAACATTGGACTATTGAGCACCACTGCTGTAGCCCTTTTAATCCCCTTGTCCTGCATAACACCCTCAAATCTTCTGGGGCAACGTGACAATCTCTTCCAGCACAGGAAGCCATGTAAATAATCCTAAAATCTGAGTGCACAGTTAGATAGGTTCACCAGTCTCCAAACCCAAGAGAGAATTACAAATCCTGTTCCACAATGATTTGCAATATAGCCTACAGCAGGAAAGGACTTCTTCCTCTAATGCTGCTCTGCCATTATCCACATCATGCTACCATATAAAACGAACCAATGAACAAAAATGAAACAGCGTTCCTCAGTCTGACTGCATGCTTAGTGTCCCAGGAAATACTGGTTTCTGAATAGAGCTTTGAATTACTTAATGAGGTAATAAAGTACAGAAATGATATACTACTCTCTAGCATACATATGCTATGGTGTAGGAAATAAATATACCTAGAACAAATAAGCAATTTGAATATTGGCAAGGTTTCACTATGATGTATTAAGTTTAATCCTGGCCTCCCAATGCTTGTTATGTCAGGTCAAATATTTTTGGAAACCCTTTTTGCCTAGCTTCGTCAATAGGCAATTTTTTAAATAACGACACCATCTTTTGAAAATATTTGGCTGTGCTCCTATTGTAAATTCTTATACCAGTGCTCCCTCCTGGTCATAGATTTTTATGCATAAGTATCTATATCAGAAAAAACGTTTAAGCACAAAATAAAAGGTCATCATGTACCATTTATTAGCTACTGTACTTTTCTTTTACATAACAGGATACTGTTGCTAAGTATAGGGATTCATTTAAATAGAGGATTGAAATTCAGCGTATGTCAAAAAGTTTCCTTGGGCTCTTTATTTCCTTTGATTTAATTTAAAGCACTTTCTCTTGGGTTTGTTGCTCTCCAAAAGGGATTAAAACCACCAAATACACAATGTATTCAGATGGAAATATACTAGATCAGACTGCTATATGAGCCACTAACATTTGCCAACAAAACTAACATCCACAGTCATTTTCTCTCTCACCATTCTCTGTTAACCCACCCACCTTTCCAAACATCTAGGAAAATAACAGGCTTTGCAGCACGCTTGATTTAAGTTATAGAATGCTCAATCTTACTCCAAGACAACAGAGGCTCTAACTGTTACAAAAATATATGGGCTGATTCTCCTCTCACTTACACCAGTTTGATATTAGCAGAATCACACTGGACCAGATCCTTAGTCAATGTAAATTGGTGTTGCTTTATTAACTTCCATGGAGCTATGACAATTTACACCAGCTGAGGATCTGACCCATTGATTTGAGTAGAATTACTTCTGATTTATACCAGTGTGAGTGTAGACTAGATGTTTACAATGAATATAAATCCTATTTTACCAGCTTAAATCTAGTTTATTTGTGAAACTGGAGTGCTGCCTTCTTTAATTAGAGGACTAGTTTTAAAGGTTGTTTATCCTTTTTTCTGTGTCAGTATGTCTTGACTATAGTGGCAAGCCCTGGAGTGCAATTAATTATAGTTCATGGAAGAGCAAACCACAGACCGGTAACAGATGTTCATCTCTATTTTCTTTTGCCTAACTCCTGCTAAGATAAAATGATTTTTATGAAAAGGCCTTCATAGCAGATTTTACTAGAGAACAACATCTGATCTTTCAATTAATAATCATTTTAAATATTATAAAATCAGATTCATAGGTGATTTATCGTTTAAAAATATAAAACTCAAATTAACATAATATAACATAACATAATAATAGAATAACCAGAGAAAACACTATGATAAAAATATAAATTCCCTAAAGGAGCTATTTTTGTTAGTTGGTAGGTTTCGGAATAATTAGGCAATAGGCTGAAAGTTAACACTGCCATTTACCTACCTTCGTCTATTTGAAATGTATTTGCAATACTCCCTCTGTTGACCATAATGCAGTAATTTTATACACCAAAGTTATTTTGAGCAGAATTTGGAAAATCTTTCTTCCTCAGCCTAAACAAAACTGGCATGACAAAGTTACCAGGATAATAAGTACAGCTGAATCATGGAATTTCTCTTTCTGTCCATTTTAAATTAAAGTGTATGTGCTACTGTTCACTAAGATGCAAACAGATATACCAAATATGGCATTCCTGCTCATTTCTTTACATTTGAAGGTTGCTTACACTAAAGGTTTAAAAACAACTCATGAAAACATGCATTCAGAATACTGTACAGGGAAAGGAAGAAGTACTAATCAGCGTGAAAAGGGAGGATTCTAAGGTTCCCTGTGCTGCTCCTCCCACTTGGAGAGAAGATACAGCATTAATTATGGTACCAGTAGATAGGAGAGGAAACTGTTAGAAATTGTATATTAGAAATAAGATGCACGTGGAAAAATGGCAGTAGCTGATGTAACGTAGAAACCTGTTTTACTGTGTTGCAAACAAATGGACAATATATATTGTACAATATATAATAAAAATACAGGAGAATACGAGTGCCACTGATAAACAAAAAGAAACCTAATGTTAAGACTTAAAAATGCTAATTTTATAATATGTACATTGCAGTAATAAGCCACAATAAATACATCAATTTCCATATCATTCATAATAAATACTGAAAATATAAATACAGAAGAATACAGGTAATTTGAATAAATTATTACAACATAAGGTCCAGGTTAAGTTCTGTTGAATGTTATTGTAGCTTATATTACCCTTTGGCATCTTTGAGTTTACAATTTATAAAACAAAGGAAATCAATCTAGGAAATGTGTAACTCATCATGAATTTGTAATGTTCAATGATTTTCATGTACGTAGGTATTTTGATTTCAAGATGAACTCTCTTTCCATTCACTTCTCAGTTTGAAAACAGTCCAATAAATAAAATGTTGCTTTACTGTTGAAACCCTCATAATTTTAGCATGTAAGACCAGTTATAATGGAAAATAAAATATTTTAATTATATGGCAGTACAACTATTTTTCTCAAAAATTGTTAGTTAGGAGTTATATACAATTTTTAAATCAACTACTACTGTATAATTATACTGTTACACTGCAATTCCCATTGTATTTAACAATTGAATTGGTTATATCTGTTTGAAGGACAAATAACTCAAAGTGCTTTTGAACCTGTGATTTAATATAATATTAACCATATTACTTACTGTCTTTTTATCACCAACTGTGAGCTCACAGAGTTTCAGAAGCACCGTTAATATTCTTGCACATATATTGCTGAATCTTTTAAAATATATGGCCATGGTAGACAATATAAATTTTACATAGCAGATATTTGTTCGACCAACCAAAGGTATTTTTAACATGAAAAATGTCTTTATAATAAATGCTGAATGACTTTTCTTACAAAATTGATATACTCTATCAGTTTTAAGTGAAACCATATCAAAATAACGAAGTGCCATATTCTATATTCACAGGTATTAACCAGTACATATGTATTAATAATTTTATTTTCAAAAGGCTATTACACCAGAAATGCGATTAACTAAAATAAAGCAGATCAACTTTACTAAGACACTATTACAGGCTGAGGCTGTTAGGAACAGATTTGTAATCTACAGATTTTGACTAATTCTGCACTGTTAAATGTCTAGCGCTTATTTTACATCAAACACTTTTAAAACATTTTTCACAAACTACACTTCAGACATATTTCCATAGAAGTGCCTACAGTCAGTCAATTAAAAGAAGGGCCCAGTTATGGGCATTATATATATAATATATATAAAACAAAAAAAGTCTTGCTGTTATGTGAACATTCACTACAACACTTCATATTTTGAAATAGTTACACATAAAATTACCCTAATAGTTCTTTTGTGCGGAACAATTTGAAAATAAAGTAGAGTGGCACATGTTCACATAACAGCAAGACATTTTTTTGTTTGTTTGTTTTAAGAGAAGCAGCTGGCAGTGCACACAAAAATATAACCCTGTTGAGAAGCCTGAAACACCAGGGTTAGCCTGCATATCAAAGACTCACCTGTGGATGGGTGGTTTCACAGTAAACCCCAAGCATACCAAAAGGGCTGGCTTTCACACATAATCCAAAACAAAAATGTAGGCCCACATCAGTAATCCAGAAAAAAATAGGGCTCATAGGAGTCTAAGGGAGTTAGGTGTCCAACTAGCATTGACTCTTACTGGGAGCTGAATGCCTAACTCCCTTACTCAGGAGGACCTATATGTCTTCTTTACTCTTATAGTTTGTTGATACCTGGAAATTAGGTCATGTTAGAACAAGATCCTGAGGAGCTGTGTCAACTAACTCAATGTTAAACATGACTTTGCAGTCAGGGTAGACAGGGGCAAGCTGTGTTTCACACTATCCACTGGTTGTGATTAAACCTATGGTTTCACTGATGTTTGCTCATGACCAGCTGACATGATGTTAAACGTCTTTTTCCTGTACATACTTGCTGCAAAGTTGTGTTTAACAACATTAGTTAACACAACTCATGTCATGTTCTAACACAACTTAATTTCTAGTGAAGACAGACTTATGGTGCCTGCTCTGGGCCCCTCTTTATCTCAATTTTTGCTCCTTTTTATGAAACTTTTCCTTTGCCATCAAGATAACGAAGGCCTTCTTCCAAAAAAATCCATGTCAGCGCAGATGCATTAACTGGGTGCATGGTTAAGACTGGAGCCATGTTTGTCAATATATTTTCCATTATTCCTCCAGACAGTATATAAAACTATTTAGGCTTTCCTTGGCTGCTGTGGAAACCTTTTATGCAGGAGTGGGGGATGGGGGAAAGGAAGTACATATATTAAACACAGGGCAACATGTTCTTTTCATTTTCTTGTGGACTTGTTACCACTTGAGGTTCAACAAAAGCATCTGTTGAACATTCTACAGTATGAACAGTTTGACAGACTCAATCACTGCTGAGGCGTAAGTAAAAAAGGATTAAACAAATAAATAATACATTTGCCTCTTCATTTTCTCTGGGTCTATTTGAAAAACGGGAGACTTTCCATCTGAGAAGCCAAGCTGTAAAGCTCCCTGGGTGTGGCTCTTTAGCCTCCAGGAGCAAACGACAGTGTCCCCTCTGTGCTACTGGACACCCTGATGCACCATCTGCCAACCTTGGGTCCTCCAGAACACTAACACTCAATATACCTCTCAACCTTCCCTTTTCAGAGAGACATACCTCATTTTAGACCCACATTTCAGCTCTTCCTTAATGTAAAGCCTCATCTCAAAGCAAAACTTTTTCAGGGAAGATACAAACAGAGCAAAGCTACAAAACACTAAATTCTTCAAAACGTGTGTGCCAGGTGAACTGGAGATGTCTATAGTAAATGCCATAATGTAGGCTGCTTGGGAGGCAGGGAACTCAAGCAGCTCTCACAAAAGGAATTTAAAACCCTTCTCCCCAGATAACAATGCTACCTGTGGCACATTAATACCAAGTAAGTTGGAAGTTGCCTTGTAATTCTAGGGGAAAATAAAGACCCCTGGAGAGCTCTTGTACTTTATATACTCTATTTTTGTAACTAATCAAGAAAACTTGTTTCTTACATCACCATTTTCTTGCTTTGGATTGCATCCCTCTTGGAGAAAAAAGAGAATTATTAGCATGTCAAGTGATCACTGAGAACAGCAAAATTAAACAAAGTGCATTTTTTTAAAAAGAATGTTGGAAATTTTTTTAAGAAGCAAATTTTGAGATTTCTCATACTCATTATGGAACATGTTAAGGAACTGGGCCCTTTGCTTACATCTGTTTTATTTTCTGAAAATAACAGTAGTTTTCTACTATTAATTTTAAAAAAATACTGCTCAGACTTTATATTTTAGAAATAAATTCTATAGAATATATTATCATCTGAGTTAATTCTACCATTTATTATTATTAATATTTTACATCAAATGATTTGTAAGCACAATAAAGGCTATATTTGCTCTTTGGCCCCACCAGGGGAGCTGCACATCCCTGACTAAGACCTGAGGATTTGCCTTTTTTTATCATCCCCATGGTACACAGCCTTCAGCCCTGAATGATTCAGGAAATGAAACAATTAGAGCAATAATCAAGCCCAGGTCGCCAGGCTACAATGTAGAGCACGATCATTAACCCACCAGGCTAATCTGTTATTCAGCAGATCCTCTTAAAACACTACAATGGACCAGATTGTCTCTTTCCTTCTAGCTCTGAGTGATGCACAACTGCACTGCCCCAGAGCAGTCCAGGGAAAGAATTGAGCCAGAGACATAATTCTTGCCCTGGCTGGTTCCTCCCTTGCTTCAGTGGGGCAGGAATCTGCTAGTGATCTATGCTGGTAGCAGATGACTTCCCCCCTGCCCTGGCTCAGATATGCTGGGTAGTGTGCTGGGGAGGGGGAGCAGAGTCAAGACTCAGTATCATCATCCCCATTTTACAGATGGGGAAACTGAGGCACAAAGAGGTAACGTAACTTATCCAAAGTCACAAAGCAGGCCATTGGCAGAGCTAGGAATAGAACCTAGGTCGCCTAAATCCCAGTCCAGTGCTCCGCTAGGCAATGCTGCCTCCCACAATGCCAAACACAACTTTAAATATTAAAAACCATGACAAAATAAATTATCTGTCTTGCTGAGGTTTTTATGTAACCTGTAACAGCCAGGTTTGGTTTATTGAAGAGTCTGCTCCCAGCTGAGAGGTTACTGTTGCGTGAATGAATTTCTCAAAACATGTGGTGATGCAGGCCACACAAAATTAAATTGAGCATTTGGCCCCCAATCTATGAGCATTCTAGTGAGTAACAAAACCATGAATACTGGACATTTTGTAGAATGTTATTACAACTAGTACTATGACATTTTAGAGAAACTCAGAGCACTTTAAAAAAATCAATGGGAGGACTGAACCAAATATAACTATTAATAACAGGTTTCTTTGAGCAATAGGCTTTGCAGGTGTGAGTGCTGTTTGTTGATAACTGATCAGAATTTCCCTGACCCAAGGCAAATGCAAAGGTATAAAATGGAACTATTGTTGTTAGAACTCAACAAAGAATTAGTAATTTGTACAATTTTAAATGGCCGGCTTTATCAATAATAATTTTACATCAAAATTTACTCATCTCTCTGGCATGCACTCAATCAGAATTTTTTTTATGAAACATAACAATACAATTTTAGATAATTGTTGCATTTTTTTTCCTGGCCAATTTTCTTTTTAAGTGAATGTTCCAGTTGGAATGAGTTATAGCTCCTTGGAAACAATTACAATGGCCATAATTTTGCCAGCAAATTTCTAGCTTCATATTTAACTTTAGTTAAAGCTTAATATGCAAGCTAGTTGGTTGTATCTTCCAAGAGAAGCTAGATTTACTTCATTAGGAAAAAATGCAGTCAGTTCTGTGCTGTTTTTACTAATCTTCAGTGTGCAAATTCTTTTATGTTGTACCAGAAGAAAATGTTTTAGTGTTACAAGTACATAAATTATTAGGGGAAAAAGAGTACTAGGAACATATTTCCAAAGAAAGCATGGTCTGCCACCTTACAGACTGTTTGTAGTGTTGTTGCAGTTGTGCTGGTCCCAGGACGCTGCTGAGACAAGGTGGGGGAGGTAATATATTTTATTGGACCAACTTTCTTGATGAAACAGACAAGCTTTTGAGCTATACAGAGCTCTTCTTCAGGACATTTCTTCAGGACCTGAAGAAGAGCCCTGTGTAGCTCAAAAGCTTGTCTGTTTCACCAACAGAAGTTGGTCCAATAAATACCAGTAGCTCATTCACCCACCTTGTCTCAATTTACAGAATGACTTTCAAAACTATCCTGTTTCTTGTCAACGTCTATTACCAGGCATCAAGTATCTTAGGGATGTAAAGCTTTTTAAGCACAAACAAGGAATGGAGACCAATCATTAACATAAATGTGGCAACAAACGATGTGCCAAATCTGTACAGAAGACACACATGGCTATTTGCAATTTAACAACATAACCCTTTTAGCACATGGAAATAAGGTTTACAAAAGTGAAAGTATTAGCAACCAACACAGGAAATCTATTACTATTAACTGAGCAGTAGGGCACTATAGGTTGGCCAAGGGAAGGAGGTTGAAAAGCACTAACAAATCTCAAGGTTTAACCAAACCACAAAACAAAGCTTTTCCTTAAGTCAGTGGTTTTCAACCTTTTTTCATTTGCGGACTCCTAAAAAACTTCAAATGGATGTGCAGCCCCCTTTGGAAATCTTAGAAATAGTTTGTGACCCCGCAGAGGTCTGTGGCCCACAGGTTGAAAAGCACTGCCTTAAGCCAGTGGCTCTTTTCCTCCAAATTCAAACTCCAGCTACTATGTCTTTTGACTCCTCATAACTGTTCCCAACTTTACTTGTGGAAAATATAGCAAAATATTATTTAATCACCTCCCTATTCCCATCCCTTTGTATGTTGTGTGTCGTCTTAGATTGTAAGCTCTTGCGGGCAGGGCCCATGTTTAGTTCTAATACTATAATAGCAGGTCTCAGGACCTAGAGATGGTTATACAGCACCTAGCACAGGGGGCCCATCTTGATCAGATTCTCTGAACTCTATTGCACTATAAATGGTAACGAAGAAGCACAGCAGCAGCCATCTCGCTATTTTAAAGCTAGTTGAGACGTGCTTTACGTAATTACTTACTTTTCTGAGTGTTTTTCTTTCTAATGTCGCTGAAGATTTTCTTCATGTGGAAAGTTAGAGACTAAGAAAATAATTTCTTATTGCTCCATAACAGGGCAAATAATGAAGTAAAAATCTTATTTTCACCAGAACGTAATACATTGGTTAAATGTGCATAATTATGTCTCCTTCTAGTGGCCAATCCACACTGAAGTTAAGAACCTGCTACTCACTCACAGTTACTGTGTTAGCTAGAGGTTTGTGCTTTAAGTGCTAGTGTGGCGTGTGCCAGGTTTCTGTGATGTGTACACATGTGCCCAGTGATTTGTTACAGGGGCTCTGTAAATTAAGAGAGCTCTGTTATCAAGACAATATTATCAGTAACCTGCATACTTCTTTTTATCCAATGTTTCTAAGCTGTTTCTCTTTAAAAATAAAGAATACCATTTGCTGTGTCAAAGCTGAGAACACCTGTCTGAACTGACTACACACCCTTCAGGGAAAGAAAAGAAGTTTCTACTGTGAACAAGGAACAGATGACTTGCTAGAATGGCTACTTTAGACAGCAAGTCCAAGCGGTCTGCACTTTCCCAGGAGACAGGAATGCCATGCAAATGAAGTATGCAATTCTTATTGAACCAGGGCTTTTATCTCAAAGGAATCCCAATGAAGACATTCATGAATCAATGTGGGAACAAATAAACAAAACAGCTCCCTCATGTTACGAGAAAATATAAAAATATTTTGCCAATTTAGTGTAAAACAATTGACTTGAAAATGGTGTGCAATGGTTTCATAAAAGAGCCATTAAGTCACAACTTCTTTTTCAGAGAACATCTTTTTAGCATGATAGTTTTTCTACCTGGAACATTGTAGCTGATTTTATAAAAAGTGATTCAGCAGAAGAAGAATTGGTACAGAGTTGAAATCTACAATATGCTTACATCTGTACCCCTAAAAAAACTCAATTTGACAGAGATAAAAATTAAGCAGCAGATGCTGTAATTTGACAAAAAAGACAATCATTTCCAACTAACAGATATATAATGATACTTCAATATCAGTAGAAGGACCAAAATATCAAAACAGTTTAAGAAGTGTCCTATTGCATTTTAAAATAAGGCAATGCACAGCTAGGTATATCTAATAAACGTGTTGAAAATGAACTCCTAGAAGAAGTTCTTCTCTAGAAAAACCAAGTCCAGATAATTTAAGGGTTGGGATGCAGCATGTGTTGTAATTCTCATTGTCCCTTTTAAAAAGTAAAATGAAAATCAGGTTATAATGAATGATGCACGTAATGCATTAGAATTTGCCTACAAATTTTCACAACTATAAAACTTCTGACACTAGTGTCCTAGTTGAATATACAGATTCTGGTACCTAATACTGTTATCATCAGAGTAATTAAGTGACTTTGTACATTTAGGGTTTGATCAAAAGCCCACTGAACGGCTTCAATGGGCTTTGGATCAGGCTCTTATTTTGTAAAGATTGCTAAATAGGTAGAAGAATCTAGAAAAACGTAAACGGTTTTCCATGCTTCCTTTAACCTCCTAACAGAATGACTCTTTGCTCTTACTAATTACTTATTTAAGCATTCATATACTGGCTTGGGAAAACTTGTATCAGTTTTATTACAATGAATTGTAAGATGCCGGTCTATTATATAGATCTCACAATCTGGAGCTATGGCATATCTCCAAAATAGTTCACAGTACCCACAATTAATAAGGTACTGCAAAATGGCACTAAAGTGCATTAGTAAGCTGAATATTTCTGGGACTAAAAGGTGCTGTGCAAGTTTATAAACTACTGCTTTGTCCTTATACACAACATCAATTTTCTCTAGGGGGAGTTAACTGTGGGTTGTCATTGATTCAGACATTAATGGAGGATTGTCCTACCTTTCACCTTTATACAAAATATAAATGCCCCCTTACTCACAGATTTGTCTGTCAAAAAGAGTAAAAACAGACGTAATGAATTGTAAAGAATGTATTTTAAGATCAGTTGCTAAGAGTAGTTATAAAAAATGTATATGGTACGCCAGATGAAATTTACGTGGGCATGCTCTGCTGAACTAGCTATGGATTTTCAACTCAAATGAACATGCTGTTCATTTTTATCAAAACATGAGTACTAAACTACCATAAATAAAATACAGTACAGAACACCTAAACCTTTTTCATACATTAATTACTTTTACATAAAAAGTCACTATCTTTTTCAGATATGTTGAAAATGTAGGACTCTAAACATGATTATTTCAAAGTATCAGTTTAACAATCTTGCACAGGCCCAACAATCAAAAACATGAAGCTTTGATTCAGATAGCTTGGCAGGTTCCACATAGTTTGACAGGTAGGCTACTTTGAAATATGTATATATTTTTAATTTATACATTTTCTATCAAAAGACAGTTTGATTTCTGTTTTTAATCTTTACATGAACTGTTTTTGTGCAATGCCACAGCCATGTAGCTTGAAAGAAAAAAACAAAATGTGTCTGGAATATTAACCATAGTCCAAGTTTTCTTAGTCCACAGCTTAAAAAATTATGATTCTAGGAAATCCAATTGGAGTGCATTTAAATAAAGGGATTCAGTCCTAGAATATCTTAATAAATTAAACAGGTACTGTTTCCACTACAGATGATTTGATACACTCTTCATGCAGTCTGCTCTTTTCTGAAAGGCTTATAGAATTCTCAGCAGCTTGCTCTGGTATGTGACTGTCACCGTTCAAAGCTGAAACAAATCCATCTTGAGAGGTACTTTTCAAGTATGAGTGAAATTCCACTTGAGGGTGGCTTGGCCTATGTTCAGTGTATAAACTATTACATGGAACACTGTTATCACTTTCTGAAGAGGAGCAGCAAACTATCACAGAGGGGTTTGCAGAAGGGTAATGAGAGCTGCTGTAACTTTCCTCTGATTGCCGTGTGTAGTCAACAAACTGCTCTGAAGTCATATTGTAAGGCACCAGAGAAAGACTACCATTTTTAACAGTGTCCCTTTCTGAATAGGTCTCAGTGATCTGGTTATTACTGCCAGGGGCATGGTTCTCTATTTGGTAATACAGAGTTGAAGAGTTAGCATAGAATGAGGCATTTTTAGAGTGGCTTTCACGTACTGCAGTGCCATCAGAATAGCAAAGGACAGAAGGAAGAGGCACCACATCGGCATGGGACCCCATGCCTTCCACAAAATCATCTGCTTTTTCTTCCTCCTCCTCCTCTTCATCATCGTCATCATCATCAGATTCACTGGGTGCTAAACTTTGTGTACTAGAATCTGTAACTCCACTACAAAAGCTACTTCCATCTTCTTCCTCCTCCTCCTCTTCCCCAGGACAATCCAAATCTTCAGCAGACTGCAGGTGCATCACTGCAGCCTGGGGGTCAGTTTCAATCTCAAAATTCTCTGCAAGTGAATATTCTACCGGGTGGGGTGCTGTACTCAGAGAACTAGTGTGAGCACTTACCTCAGTGTGGCAACCATTTAGTGCAGGAACTTGCTGCTCTCTATTTTTTTCCAATTCAAGCTTCATTATTGTATGCAAAAAGTGAGTCCGTACACGGATGGGGTTAAATTCAATTCTACCTGCTGTGTTGCTGCACCCTTCTTTAGTGCAACCACATGGAAAAGACATACGATCCACCTTTTAAAAAGAGAATACAGATTAACCATATGTACAATAAACCCAATGATGCAACAGACACTAGAGAGACTAGAAGCATAAAATAACAAAATGAGATTCATTTGTGGAAAGTGCACAGTACAACATATATGGAAAAATAAACCAAAGCAAAGATATTCACTGGAAAGGAGAACCTGGAAAGCAATAATATCATACAAAACAGAAAATTAAACATGGATTTACAATGTGATGTAGCAGAAAACAAAAGGACTATATACAGTTTTAGGTTTCATACATCACAATGTGGATCAAGGGATAAATGATTTATCTTTCTATGGCTCTGCTATAACCACACCTGAAATACTGTGGTCATTCCTTGGGCCCTCATTACCAGAAAGAAGCTGATATACTGGATGGAAATCAGATGAAAGAAACAAAAATGATTAATAATTAGGAGGGAATGGCTTGTGCAGAAAGGTGGGGTTTTTAAAAAATTAAATATAGACAGCTTGACCAAACAATAACTAAGGGGAGAAATGACCACAGAAGTTAGAAATAGAAACTGGGACAAATTTTAAATGAGGCTCCAGTCAATTGTGGATACACTATTGTAGACACAATGAACTGTAGGCTGAAAGAATAGAATTTAGATATCTACCCGCCTGATTGGATCCAGAAATCAGTTACTGTAGTTAGATGCCTAAATTTTATCGTTTTCACCTACCTGCACTCAAATGCAGGTGCAAAATTAGAGGCCCCCCAAGGTGATGTAGTCCATATCCCTGTCAACGCAGAACTGAAAACAGTCTATGAATATTCAAGAGGGTAAATACCTGAGGGTCGTAGGATGAGTTTAGGCAGATTTAAGAAATTATTAAAAAGGAAAATTTAGAGAAACTCAATGATGGTGAGATCTACTGGGCTGTATAATAGTGACCCAATGGAACTGATGAAGTTTCCTTCCTTGGGACACTTAAAATGATCCTGTAGAAACCACCAGTAAATGTACATTAGGGAATACATTTTTGATTGTCAGAGAGATAGACTAGATGACCTAATACCAATGGTCCAGCTCTAACATTTATGATTCTATCACACGTATTAATTGAAAGACGGTAAAACATGCTTTATTTATTGGTTCTTACTCTGAGTTTTGATTTTAATATTTGATTCAAAACTACTTGAGATTATAAATTAGGAAACATACAATCTGAAGTAACTGCAGAGTTATACTCAGGGGAAAAGATATACAGTATTTCTAAAATAAAAATTAATCTTGTGAAATCAGCAGTCATATAGGTTAGTGACTCCTCTGTTGGATGTTTGGTTAAAGGCCCATAGAAGAATATGAGGAGCTGAGCATTTGTATTCAGAGGGGGAAATGCCAGTTATTGCATGTCTTCAAACTAACTACAATAAAAACCATATTTTTATATATCTATATCTATATATTTATTTTACTGGTTTTGAGACCCACAAATTTCAGCATTTAGTAATTCATTACCCATAATACCTCTGTTGTGGGTTGTTTATGCCCTGCTAGTAAGAAATGTCTGTAATATAGCTCTTTACCTGGCATTTTATGCCTGCCAGGCTGCAAGTACACGTTTCTGGATCACAGAACACTCGGCAGTCACAACCACAATCCTCTCTGGATAGGCGGATAGCCCGCAGCTCATGTTTTTCTTCCACATCAATCTTTTTCACTCCAGAGGCTCGTAGCAGCGCCCTACGTTTTTTTGTTGGTAGAGGTTGTAGAAAGAAGTATTCATCTACTTCTGTGTTGTCTAAATCAATATCATCATCAGAAATGTCATCCAATGTCAGAGTATTAGCCTCTTCAGATTCCACTGTACCATTCTTTGTCATCTATGATATAGAGCAGTTAACACAGTATTAAGACTATACACTTCCTGAAACTAAAATTTTTAGTGAGAACATATTAATTATAATGTATTTGTTTGTATGTGAACTATAAGAACACTAAGAATATACAGTATTATACATGGTTCTGTAAAACTGATATTCAGTAAGTCAAGGATTCTTAATAGATTTTCTTCTGAAGAGACTAATTTATTTCAGATGTCATTCCTTTCGGAATTGTCATGGAAATAAAAATGAATAATTGAGAATTCAGATTTTCACCTATAGTTGCAAAATATGGAAGAAAAAACAATAATATTATCCCCCATATTGCTAGGAGTTGACATTTTAAAATTCTTCGTCAGTGCTTTATGGTGACAGCAAAGTGCAGGAAAAGGATTAACTAAAACCAATGGGCAACGTTAGTGTTAGGATCAATATGCCCTTTTGTGTATAGACAATACAATCATGGCTGAAATCATGACAGCTATTCACAAACTAAACGGTCTTTGCAGGAATAATTATTACTCCATCAGTGGAGTAAAAATGGAGAAACACACCAGAAGAAAAATACTATTATGTACTGTGTTGTTGGCATTTGAGACACAAGTACCCAAGGAAAACATTACCAGAGTTAGAATTTGTGTGCAAAGTACGTGTGTGTGTGTGACATTCTATACCTTCAGGCAGCAACCTGGAACCCCCATATTCCTCATTTTTATATAATTGTGATCTTACATATAAAGCATGCCTTGTAAGGTATCAGGGGAAAGGTTATGATCTGCTAAAAGTCATTTCTCTATCCACATATGCATATCATTAATGCATATGCAGTTATGAGAATTGTGTTGTCACTAAAACATGCTGTAAATTGGGGAATTAGCCAGATATTACCTCCCCAGCGGCAACAGCAAGGAAAGTAACCAACACCTGGATGGGGTATCAATCAACCCATCTACAACCATTGTCTAGCAAGGGAGTAACAATGCAATGACTCACCTGCATGAGGTCACCTTGCCTGGAGACTCAGCAATGCCCCCAGACATGCCTGGAATTGTGTTTTCCAAGCACATGGACTGAGGGTATAAAACAGACACAGTGGCCACATGCTGGGCCCTTCTCCTGCCCCCACTTACACTGCAAGCAACTCAGACACTGAGAAGAAGACAAGACTCCAACAGAGGAGATTGGCTCAGGTTTAAGGTATTGGCCCAGGTATATTAAGGACTGCAATATCCATCAGGGTGAGAAAAACTGCTTAATCTAGATGTTGCCTAGTCTAATAAGGTTGAGAGTTTAGACTGCGTGCTTATATTTTATTACTTTTGGTAACTAACTGACTTTTTGCCTATCACTTAAAATCTACCTTGTATAGTCAATAAATTTGTTTAATTGTTTATCTTTACCAGTGAGTTTGTATGAAGTGTGGGGCAAATCTGTTCAGGTTTTGCAAAGGCTGGTGTATATCCAGTTTCAATTGTTGAAGCGGTGAACCAATTAATAAATTTGCACTGCCCATCTTGAGCAGTGCAAGACGGTATATTCCTGAGGTACAGTGCTGGGAGGACTTAGCTCTAGTGCCTTTCTCTGTGTGATTCATGAGTGGCTCTGGGAGCATTCATGCAATATAGCTGGGTGTGGGGCTCCACATGCAGTTGTGCTGAGTGATCACAGCTCCTGGAGAGGTTTGCTGCTAGTCACTAGCAAGGCATTGTGAGAGACAGCCCAGGCTGGAGAGAGTTAAGGGGGCATAGTCGTGCCACAGTTCCAGGCTGCATCCCCGGGGGATCCCATCACAACATGGAATCAGAGAAAGGTCAGAGTATATAGTACTGTGCTTTACATTTAGGAACACAGAGATTACTGTATAGGAACAAAGGGATTACTGTACTAGATCAGACCAGAGGTCCATCTAATCCAGTATCCTGCCTCTAGCAATAGCCAGTACCAGATAATTTAGAAGAAGGTGCAAGAATCCTGCAATATACAGATGTGCAGTGATCGGCCCCTGTCATTTGGTCCTGATCTATAATAGTTGGAGATTGGTTAAATTCTGAAGCATGAGATTTAAAATCCCTTCCAAAAATGTATCATCATTAATTATAACAGCTCTGGATATTCTTATTAACCATATAAATGTCCAATCCCTTTCTGAATCTTGCCAAGTCCTAAGACTCAATGACTTCCTGTGGCAGTGAGTTCCACAATCTAATTACACTTTGTGTGAAAAAGCATTTAATCAATTTTGAATTTGCCATCTTTTAATTTCATCGTATGCTCCTTTGTTGATATGAAACAAGGACAGAATTTCCTGATCTTCCTTCTCATTACCATTCGTTATGATAAAGTTACAGTAGTGGAGTCCAGGAGTATCTTTGGCCACAGATACCTTGAAGTCCTTGCTTAGGCAAAGAAACCACTGACATTAGTAAAAGCTGAGTAAGAACTTCAGTGCTTGGCCTTTTGAGAATACCAGCCCTTTGGATGCAATTGTATACATTCAAGGAGAATGGTGTAAGGTGCAGGGATAAATATATTAAATTTCTATTCTTTTCTGAATTATATATGCCTCTGAGAACTCAGTTATATAAAGACTCAAGAAACCATGCTATATCCTTTGGGATGGACGAGCATTGTTGATGATATTCTGTTACTTTCTAATGTATCTTTTTCCTCTCATTAATACATCATTTTAGAATAAGACACCTGGCAGGACTTAACACAACCATCCAAATGTCACCTTTTCATATACTAGCATTCTTTGTCTTAAATTTATAACACTCCAATCCAGCAAGCACCACCACAATTGAGTAAGTGCACCTCACGTGAGAGCACGGGTCCAGATTCGCTGTTCCAGCCAAGCTGCCTGGGTGAAAGCCTGGGATTGCAAGGGAAAAGGTGGCTTTAATTCACCTTAACATTCCTTGGATCCAAGGACCAACTCAGCCCTTTAGACTGCTCTAACATATGCCTGGCTTCCCAGTTTGAAGGTAGCGTTGGACTAATTTCCTTGTCGACGATGGAGCTCACTGCTTAATTATCCCTACCAGAGAGTACATTTCTGGGGCTCATAAAAATACTTCTGAAGAGAAAACCATTTGACTTGAGAGTGGACCAAATGGCAAGTATTTAAAAACATTTCCCCAAAGAGGGCACATCTGGATCCCACAAATTGTACATTCCTTCCAATTTCAAGATTGAGCACTGTGGTCTGATACTGAGATATTCAATATATTTTTACAAACAAAGCATAAACATTTCAGCAAGTGCAGTAATACAAATTTGTTTTGTGAAGTGAGGCTTCCTTTGTTAGTGTTATAAAAAAATATTTTGTTTAAGTGGAAAACCAAATGCAGACATTCCCAGTCTTCATCTTTCCTGAGCACGATGATTTCAATGAAGGTGTGCTGATTTACACCCGCAGGGGATCAGGGCCCATATCTCTGAATTTGTGACTTCTGTAGGTTTAATTCCTCACCTAATGTCACATTTACACACTAATTTAAAAAAATACCGAATGTAAAGGAGACAACTTTGATCACACATTCACCAATACAGCACCTTTTGTTTGGATTTATTATTTCAGATCTCTGATGCCACAATTTGAGGCACCAATAAACTCAGGGCCAAATCCTGAGGTTCTCATTCCAATTTTACTCAGACAAAATCTCAAGCCTTGTTCATATTAGCTTATTCTGTACTCCTGTGGGAGCATACTTGAGTAAGGATTGAGTAAAATCAGCATAAGGACCTCAAGATCTGGTATCCAGTGAGTTTATCTGAATATTTTCCTATCCATAAGGAAATATATATTCAAATACATGCTCTACACTTTCATTATAACAACAGATATTCTTCATCCTTTTCTGCTCAACCTGCTATCACTTTTGAATTTTTGTTTCAGGTATATGCATAATACTTAAATTCAGTCAGTGCATGTGCTTCCAATTCTGTTATGGTTTTTTATGTTTATATATGGTAAAATTACCATTGTTGCTTAGATACTCCCCCTTCTCTACTACTTAATCCTGCCATCTCTGTTACTCTCTTTCTAGTTGTATCTTCTTTTACATACTGTATAAGGAAGCAGTCCTGTATCGTATCCATATAACTACTGCTGCATTTATTTACTATATGCTCTGCTTGGTCTTAGGTACCTTAAGTCTCCCACTTCTGTTAACAGTTTGCCCTTTGCACAACCTTTTGTATTATAGCTATCATTTCATGCCATTGTTCAAGTAGTCTAGAAAGTGAATTCCTATCGAGAGTTTACTGTCTTTGTGGCCTCCAGTCTTGAGTAGTAACAATCATAGATGTTAAATACTGAAAAGATCTGACAGATCATTCACCCATTTCCTTGCAAACTCAGGATTAAAGGAACTCCCTGCCCCAATCAAGGAGCTGACCCCCAATTCCCGACTGGCAGGTGGGCATACTTACTAATAAACAAACAAGACGACATTTCCTTAGTGTACAGTAGTATGTCCTCTGTTAATATTTCATCACTACCTGTACTTCTTACAAAGTTAGACTGCCATTGCTAGAACTTCCTTTACAACATACTATTTCTTCCTCTTTCCAATGTATTTTGACTTTTATAAACAAATTGCAACCTTCAGAGTTTAATCCCCACTGATTTTCATTTCAGCTGCCATGTTTGTTAGCCCCATAATATTCAAATCCTTTATGCTCTGATATTTCCAGTTCTCTTTTCACAGTTATATATAGGCATCTTTAAAACTTCTCTTGAAAAACCTTCATATTCTTCTTCTTTTCTGTTTCCCTAGATGTCAGCCCTCCCCACACTAGCTAGCAAAAGATAAAACCTCCCTTGTGAACTATGCTTTAACACATTTTTTGCTAGAGAGGTGCTAGCATGTTTTCTCTGCCCAGTATACACTATGGACCCATCTATACTAGTCTTACTAACCTGAGCATACAGAACTTTCTACATTAACACCTTGCAGTTACTTTCCCTTCCCCCAGTCACAGAGTCACCGGGGCGA